AGGTTTCGTCGACCTCGTCGTCTTTTACTGCAGAATAGATTGTCCGGGGATACAAATCACTATCATTTGGTAATTAGCATAACAACGAGCCAATATTAAATCCTTTGAGGACCAGCGTTGATAGGCAGGCTGCACCGCGCCGTCGCTTTCCCACGAGAGGCAACAGCGCCATCATCTGTGCAAGCATGTCTGGCTGTCTGCCTGCCTTCCCACGAGACGTAACGCCGCCACGACAATACCTGGGTGAGATATGACGTAGCTCGGTGAGAAGGAAAGTGGCTTTTATGGTCCTCATAGGGTTAAGGACATCGCCAAGTGAGGCCATTCATACGACAGCAGCTCTATCGAAGAAGATTCCACTCAAAAGATAACGAAAATGAAGACCCACAACGGGGACGAACCATTCTAAACAACTGGTAAGAATCATCGGCTTTGAAGAAGACGAGGAAGTGGATACGTTAATGGAATAAACTTTCATTCCGATGCCTTGGTATTAGCTATATCGAACAAAGCCATTATTCGCTGTAATGCCGAGGTTAACCTCTTTAAGGACCATGTGGGACGTTTCGTCCCATGCCGCGCGGTCAAATCTCACTCAGGCACTGTCGTGGAGGCGTAATTCATGGGAACACATAAGCAGGCAGCATGACATTCTCGCACAAAGAAGCAGATGCCGACCCCCAGGACTGTCGTGCAAGCGACGACGCGACGCCGCCTGTCTATCAACAGTGGTCCTCAAAGGGTTAGGAAAAAGCCGGTTTTCAAAAAAACTTTACTGCCGGAAATTGCTTAGTTTTGACGTGAGTCACTGGACGCCTTCCTCCCCATGTTTCTCGACTTCTGAGAGTTCGACAAACAATGATTCCTGGAAAAAATTCACCTCAACAGATAAATTCATAGTAAAGTGGTCAATATAGACTGATATTTTCAAATTAAGAAAAATATTCGCATGTGAATGCGTCATTTTAATCATAAATTCATCGTTCTGACGTGCACGATTATCAGGTTTGAGTGAATCCCCGCAAAGATTTCGCGCTCCAATTGCAATTTCGTTTACGGTACTCGTGAGTTGGATAGAAACGGTGTCCCTTTAAAAATTCTCGGTTGATAAGGACTTCAGTTCTCCTCTCCTCAGCGGTTTCCCTCTCCTCAGTCGTTTTTCCATCATCGAGCTTCTCCCTCTCATTCATTCTCCTCCCAGTCATTCTCGTGCCAGTCATTTTTTTGTCATCCATCTTCCTTCCCTCAACCACTTCCCCTCTCTCCTTCAGTCACTTTCCTTTCAGTCATCCTCTCCTTTGTGGCATTTTCTTCCTGGTCATTTCCCTCTCAGTCATCTTCGTGTCGGGTGCCTTTCTCTCAGTCATTTTCCTGCTAGTCATTTTCCTCTCCTCAGTCTTTTTTCTCTTCCTGGCCGTTTTCCCCTCAGTCGTTTTCCTCTCCTGAACTGTTTTCCGCTCATCAGCCGTTTACATCCGCTCAGGCGTCTTTCTCTCAGTCATTTTCCTGCTAGTCATTTTCCTCTCCCCAGTATTTTATCCATCAAACTTCTTCCTATCATTCATTCTCCTCCCGATCATTTTTTTGCCAGCCATCCCTCTTCCCTCAACCACTTCTCCTCTCTCTCTTCTGTCATTTTCCTCTTCTCAGCCATTCTCTCCTTTCGGACGTTTTCTTCCTGGTCATTTTCCTCTCAGTCATCTTCGTCTCGGGCGTCTTTCTCTCAGTCATTTTCTTCTTAGTCGTTTTCCTCTCCTGAGCTGTTTTCCGCTCATCAGCCGTTTTCATCCTCTCAGGCGTCTTCCTCTCAGTCATTTTCCTCCCGGTCATTTTGCTCTCAGGCGCTTCTTCTCCTCACTTCTGCTCAGTCATTTTCTTCTCCTTGACCGTCTTCCATTCCTCCGCCGTTTGCCACTCCTCGGGCATTTTCCATCTCGATTCTTTTTATTTCTATTTTGTAGTGATAATGGAAAATGGGTCGGAAATAGAACCGTCACCGAATAACAACCACGTGAAATTATCCGAGGCTCAGCTCGTCCATAGTGAATTCGGTGCACCACTGGAACAATGCTACAAACTGGCCGTGAGATATTACAAAGGTCCGTTTGGCTCAAATGAATTGATTTTCACAAGATTCTCAAGAATTATTCATTTGAATGCTTCTGCAGCAGTGCTAGGCAATCGGCATCAGCTGGGAGTTGAACCCCGTATCACCCATATTATGGGGCTGCGTACTGCCATAACTCCACCCAGTGCCACTGCTCCGCTGCCACCACTCTTCTTTCGATATAAGCTATCATAGCTGCTAACAGCCACGTTTCAGCGAGTTTGGTCTGATAACATATATCATCGGCATTGAACTCAGTTCTTGGTAGCAGAGCGCTGGCTTCGGTGGTATAGTGGTAGCCACGCTCCCCCGTATGGGTTAAACGCGAGTTCAACTTCCATGTAATGTCAAGTGTTATGCTTACCATTCAACACCCTTGGGCATGTGTTTACATATCACAAAGGATAAAAAGATAAAATTGTCGGTGTTGATCAATCTCTGAAGGATACGCCATGCATTTGTCTTCAATTTTTGACTTCCTCTGAGGTGATTGAATGCATATCTGGCATTTACAATGACTCGCGCTGGTCTTCCGCTGAGCCGAGTCAGTGCTGCTTATCCTCCCAGAAAAGTCTGTGACCAGTCTGGTACCACTTTACCGGCCCCGGAGGGATGTATGGCAGGTGAGTCATGAGCGCGAGATCGAGTCGTTGACCTCGTGTGCGACGTAGGGCACCTCTGAGCACTGCGTCACATGCGCTCTTTGGCATACACGTCATACTAATGCTAAAAAACATCAGAAGAATGGTTTGATTCATCCAAATTTTGGACCTATATCGGAATTGGGAGCGCATGTGGCGCAGTGCTTAGAGGTGCTCTGCGTCCTACATAAGGTTGACGGTTCAATCTCTCGCTCATGGCTCACTGAACCGTGCATCCCCCCGCGTCGGTAAATTAGTGCCAGACTGGGCTCAGATTTGTCTGGGAGGACGAGCAGCGCTGATTTGGTTCAGCGGGAGGCCACTGCGAGTCATTGTAAAGGCCAGATATGCATTCAATCACCTCAAACGAGGTTTAAAATTGAAGACGAATGCTTGGCGCATCTCTTAGTGATTGATCAACGTCGAGAGCTTTATCCTTTTTAGCTCTGTTGCAATCGAATCTGCGTCTCACCCTTCCGAGGGGCATGTTCTAACACCACTGGAATTTCGACTACCGCTCAACATTCTTGAATTGTTTTGTTGTTCAAGGAACCTTGTGTCCTGAGCATTAGCTGAGAAAGCCCAAGTTTTCGTGGGTTCGGTGGGCGAGGGGGGAGGGGGACGCTCGATTAATATTTCCGTGCGAATTGTTGTGAATATGAAAATATTCGCAGCTTTACGCATTTATCTCAATGCGTGCGTTGCGCAAACAATAGGCGCTTTCAATCTTGAATCGTCTAGTGTCTTCAATTTAGTAGTGGACCTTGGTAGTATATTGTTATTTATCTGCATGGAAGACAAAGTTAACAAAGAAATAGCTCAAAAGACACCTCCATCATTGAGTACATGATGTAAAAAGCCACGATGTTCACTCTTGACGGTGATTTTTGAGTGGCGCTTTCCCGATTTAATTGAAGAAATACTCGCTCTTTCTCTTACGGGAAAGGTAGCAATATATATGAGTCTCGTTCGATCCTCTAATTTATTACTTTTTGTCTCTAATACAATGTTACAAATATACATTCAAAAATGTTGAGTGCTGTCATTTGACCTTGGATGGACAGGATTTGAACCCGCGTTTCTTCATACCATGGGCGCATTCTAGAGCACTATACCCTTGAGGTCACCGCTTTGCTCCCTTTCTGAACATTATCTAGATTTCTATTATGTTACCAGTTCTAACGGTTTTTTTTTTCTTCGATAAGACGAAACTCTTATATGTTTTCCGTCGAAGCTTATATTTCGCGCCATCAAGCCATCAAAGGAGCTAGAAAAGAATTATCCTCCACGAGAGAGCAACATCGTGTACTCCAAATTGTCGTTAGCGTTTGCGGTTTTCAATCCTTCGTCGGAATTTTTGTAGATTTGCGTGTTATTTTTGTTTTTTCGAGAGTTCCAGTAGACAGATTGTTTTGTTCAATTTGGATTTATGCGGCGATTGCCTGATTTCTTGTGCCTGTTTCCATGGCAATGCCCTTCTGGCTACTGTCTGCCTCGTTAGTGTTTAGTTAGATTTTCGAACAGAAAAACATCTTAAGAAATGTCTTTTTTTATATAAAGCTTGCTTGAGACGCCATTGTATTGAAGAAGATACTAATAGCGCGCGATTCAATTAGAAGAAGAACACACATAGTCAACGAGAATTCTTTTAATTGACCACTTTTTCAGCAGTAATTCGATGTTATGACCACAAATCCAATAATATGACAATGTACTTTGAGCCTTTCATGAAGCTTGTTATGAGCACTCATGCAGTGCACGACACGTGTTTCGGCCTTACAGCCTCGTCAGGTGAGCGGTGTCTTTTCGTTCAGGCAGTTCCTCGGGGGTCTCTACCCCTTACACAGAGGAGTTCATGACGAACTTTTCACACTCAATTTACAGTGAAACAATCGCCATGCATTCGGCAATCAAACGCTGAAAGGACACCACGGTGATTTTTTCTCGCGCGTTAAGAGTAAGAAGTTCGCCGTCAACTCCTCTATGTTAGGGGTGGATCCTTGAGGAACTGGCTGAACGAAAAGGCACTGTGCAAATTTCGAGGATCGAAAGCCGAAATACTTGCATTGAACTGCATAAATGCCTATAACAGACCTCATGAAAGGCTCAAAATACATTGTCAGGTTTTATAGTTCTTGAGAGAGGTCTCAAAATAGTCTATTACAATGATTGTTACAAATCAAAATTGTTGATTGGTAAACCAAATCCCGGAATAGATGTGTTGTAGCGTAGAAAGAGTGGTGACAAAACGGGCGTCAGTAGTGCGATGGCTCAGAGCGCGCTCCCGGATAGAGTGAGATGCGGGTTCGAGTCCCGCCTGGCGTAAGAAATTTTGCACATCACTCTACAGCACTGAGCAATTCTTGAACTTCCGACGGAAACTGAACTCGCATTATAGCTTTCCGAAATATTGCACTAACGCGAAAGTAATAGCAGGCAGGCGACCTTTTAGTGCAACAGATTAATAAATGCCCTGGGAAGAATAGGATAGTTTGTGTGATATTTCTGTTCTTTCTTTTGATCTGAGAACTGTTGGTAGCGAAGCTTAGATCCCTAAGAGCGCATAGAATTATGAAATTTCCTTAAGTGATGTCAGAACTGTCTACCTGGCATGATTGAGTTATGATTGGTTATTGATTCAGTAAAAAGTGAATTGAAGTTGTACTTGTTCAGGTTTCTCCCATCTGAAAGGCTTTACTTAGCTTGCTCCTATCACAGTGGTAGCATTTATGCTAAGTCTGAAGCATTCTCTGGTTTGTAATTGAAGATTATCCACGTTTTTAGCTGCCATGAAGTTATTTGACTATTTCTTTGTCATAATGAGTGGACTGAATCATTTAAAATGACAGCTATTGAACAATAATTCTGCTGAGAATCGGCATTGCGATGTATTAATTCCCTGGTTTGGAGAACTGTTTCCGCTGACCACAGGACCGATCCTTAGGCTAAAGTGGCGATAGTGTTTCTCACCACACCGTTTTTTTTTTTTTTGGCTCTGTTAACTCTTTCCGGAAAATTGTTGATCAAATTTTACACACTGTGCACAGTTTTCATTATTTAAAAAGGATTTCTTTTCCCTTCTTCGAAAGAGCTCGAAGTTTTTTCTATCGTTCTGACTCTGCATGATTTTCTCTACGTGCTCATATACTTTTTCTGCATATATAAATCTTATTTTCGAAAAATCGGAAGTATGGAACGTGATTTTATCCTTGCTTGTAAAACACAATAGAAGCCTTTTTCAAAAATCAAGGTTAGCTTCGGCTCGACAAGATTTGTGCTGTCGAATGAGTATTAGTAGACACAAATAGAAAGCGATCCACAGACCCTAGCCGTGCAAGCAAATCGCTCCGAGTGTGAAATATGACTTTTTTCGTTGACACAGTGTACTAAGTATACTTATTTGAAAACCAGCATATTATTGATTCACCGATATCTAAGCTTTCTTAGGATTACTGATATTCTAATAAGAAACTTTGTCCGTTGAAAAGGACCTGTGAAAAGTGGAAGGTCAACAATGACTCTTACCGTCTGGAAAGGGTTGACTCATGCACTACAGAATGTGATATTTTTCAAATGCAGTCAAGGTTTTTCAGTCCACTGTTCTGATAATGAGCTATAGTTTGTTTATTTTCAGAGAAAGAGAAGTCTGGAGATTTGCCAATTTCGTACGAAGATCGTGTTAAACTTATGGCTCTGAATAAACAAGTGAGTGCTCAAGGCATTGAAATGTTATTTGAAAAGTTTTACACTAGCACCCATATGTGTCGATTCCAATATATGTCTAAATGAGAACAGCTCAGTCCTGCAGGTTTTATGCACCTCAACAACCTCAGAGCATCTGAAGAAATTTGGAAAGTTAGAAAAGTTCGACAAGCAGGTTCCACGCCACCTGAATGACGGCCGGAAGAATTTCTATTTTGGCGTACATCGGTGGTGCTTTTCCACAGTTAGAACGACTCATTTCTTGACAGTGTTGTGACGTGCAAAGAGAAACTGATCCGCTACGGAATCTGGTGAGGATAGTATTGCGAAACCCTTCCTCATCTATCTTACTTGGTCGGTCTCTCACCTGCAAACTTCCTCATCATCAAGCAACTTGACATCTTATAACTTTCTTCAATAGTTTCACCACCTTCAGAACTTTGAAATTTCAGACTTCTCGTATGCATAAGTAGAGCTTCTCGTCCCAAATTGTATGAATTACATGGGTTCTGTTTAGACCCGTAAACTTCATTCTGAGCACAGATATGCCATTTTGAAAATACAGTTGACTCTCGCCAAAGAGTTCCGGCTTACTTCTGCTATTTGCTTCCTTTGAGCTCACAAGAATAGCTTTGCTTCAGTTTCATGAGAGCTCCGCATTTTAAACGTCATAACAACTCAGAAGATAAGACTTCGTTGAGCAAGCCATGTTGGCCACCTTTAATGCATTTTCAATGTTCACAACTGTCAATTCAGATGCATGTGTGGCGCAGACATAGTGTCATTCTACTTTGCGATTCTGAAACTGCGCATATTACCTCATTTTATGCCTTATTGAGTGAAGAGAAAATCATTCACCTGTCACCTGTCGTCTCGTTAATCGTCGAGTGACTCAAGCGGCCATCAGTGAATTTTCCATTTCTCCTTCTTGTGTTCAAGAGTAGCCCTAGCCCAAGGATCCTCCTCGCCATAGGAGTTCACTGAGCATTGATCTATTTTCTAGACTTTTCGTAGAAAATCGGACTATGGGATCGGTGGTCTTGAAATTTATAGCACCCATAAATCTCCGCTTGAATATGTTCTTTCATAATGCTAAAATCAAACTTCAGCTTGCTGGAGCCCACAAAACATGTTATCCTCTTTTTCAGCCATTGAGACTTAGTTTTGATTATGGAAATCCAAATATGGAAATCTTCTGAATTGGCGGATTTCTTTGATCAAGGCATGATGATGTTCTCAAGGTTTTAATAACTGTTGCGTCCATGGGAAGTCTCAAGAAATTAGTTCCCACTTATGGTGTTTTGAAAGCGTCTGGGCTTGAAGTTTCTATAGAAAAATCATTTCGGAAAAATATTCTATCAACTTATATGTACCTCTGATGTGATAGGTGAAGTACATTTCCATTCTATTAACTCTAATGGCTCTGAAGTTTCTTAGATTTCCAAACGTTCTCGATTGATATTATCAATCGGCATCGCTGCTAATTTTCCATCCTGTTAATTAAGGGAAATTTAAAGCACAGACGTCAATCGTGCAGAAACGTAATCACCCACGACCACTTTCTAGAGGGTGAGAGCTCCTACGCCCCGTACTGTCTAGGAACTATGACAAATATAACATTTAAGTCAAAAAAACTAGTTGGAAATACAATGCCAAATGACAAATGACAGCGATTATGTTACTGTTCGTCTAATATTTCACTTTATTTTATACCTTCCATTATAACAACTCATCATGCGGTTACAGTAACAGTACTTATAGCATTCGATTCATCTCGCATTCGTTGTTTGAAAGATCTCCAAACTTTTTGCTTCTTGTTTGGACTGCTGCTTGAAGATTTTGTTCTCTCTGTAAATGTCGTCGATTACTGATCGAGCAGATCTCTTTGCATTCTCCAGGATAGCCCAGCTAAGAGTCCTCTCGCGTTTGCAGAAGTGTGTTAAGAAGGGTCTAACCAGCACATTGTTTTCGATAACGTGCATGATTAGCCACTTGGCCATCACCCTCAACAACTGTATTATTGTCACAGATTCACGATTATAGTTTCTAATTTTTTGAGCTACAGAACTGTTCACAGCATAGCGAAGTATGAATACGTTACGCCAATATGTTCTTGAAATGCTGAAGAAGGTCTTGCTGAAAAGCCGTTCATATTTGTGTACCTGTTGACAGTCGCATAATTCATTAGGAATGATTATAGAGCAAGAATATCGATGATTGATTGTTAATAATTTGGGCTTTTATTGGAGCCTCCAAAATGATTTCTTTTTTTGAAGAGTTCGAGACTAGTATCTTTCCTATATGAGCCAGATCCGAAGTTCTCATCAACAGTAGTTATTGGAAACGATAGTAACATGGTCTTAATCGTACAATGGCTAACGTGTCGGTAGTATCACCTTCTTAAGAGCCGTTATCATTCTCAATATGCGTTTTCACTTGTTTTTGCTTTGTCATGAAATAACGACGTATTACTGCTAGTGTTCACTCCCTTTTGTTTTCCACATTGTTCGAACAAATCTCATGCACTTATGACTTACGAGTGAATGAATGGAGGCAGTGATAATTGATGACTGATTTCGTTGGCACTGACATTGGTGTATAAATGAATCCTCTATCTAGGTTCGACACGGTCCTTTCGCCGACAGTTCTGATAGTGCCGGATGGTTCGATTTCTTTGGAAATGACATCACGTGAGTATTTTTCCCATGTTTTATCAATCATTGTTGCTTCTCTTCAGCATAGTCTACTCCTTTTTGATCCATACTTCATCATACCTTTGTAATTTTGGTCACTCTTGGATTTAGACTTCAAGTCAAAACTAGCGAACAGAATTTCAACTTTTTTTCTTTTACATCTTCTCTCTTGTCGTTGCCAATTCAGTGTGCTCACAATGGAGCTCAAGCCTATTTTTCCTGTTGTCTTCTATTTTTTTTTCTTTAAAATTTGAGTTACTACATCTACTTAACTTTATTTGTTGAAGTATATGTCGTATGATAATTAGCTTTGAAGCTTTTTTGACTCATGTAACTAGTGATCCATTGAGGATTCAAATTTCTCTCAATATTCCAGTGATGCTTACGAGCTTGAAGTAGTAGCATATGATCCAATAATTTTGGGCGATATGTAGAACTTTGACCCTTATGCGGGAATTGAACACGCGTCTCACTCTTTCCGGAAGGGAAGAGAGGAGCGGGGGGCGTTCTAGCCACTGCACCGGAGCTTTTTTAAAACTGTAACTCTTTCTGCGACACAATCCATAGGAGCTGTCAGTAGTCAATCGTCAGCAGTTTGGTCTGCTAAGCACATTTTGACATTGAACTCAGTTATGCCCTTGGTCATTAGATTTATGTAATCGACAAAATCCTTCCCTAACCGCTGTTTTAGCAGTGATACGGCATTATATCTGTTATCCAATTATGTTAGTTGGTGGCGTAGTGGTAGAACGCACCTCTGGTATGGGTGAAACGCGGGTTCAATTCCCCGCCCAAGGTCGAATGTTTTAGATGCCACTAAATGGTCTTAAATGTGTATTTGTAACGTCAAAACACTGTTAGAAAGGAGTAAAGATGGAGTATTCGTATAGACGTCATGCAAATTTTGCACCTTGGGCAGGAGTTCTTGTCGATTACACTTTCTAATCGTTGAATTCGCCTTGATCTCTCCTTCAAACTGTCGTTTTATAGTAGCTTGATAGAATAGTATCTGAGTTTCATCATATATATCGTATACCTTGTCATTTTTTGATGGTGGAGGTGGTGTACTACTAATATTGGCGGCAGCTTACGGAAGCACGAAAGTTAATGGATTTGTCATTTGTTTCGGCTGACAAGGATTAGTGTTTTAGTGTTCGAAACAAAATAACTGGATTAACTAACCATCTTTACTCAGTCGTTTAATGTGCTCTCGTTTTCATGTAGGTCTTCCGATCTATAATTGTATTACTTTTTCAGATTATTCAAAAAGTAGCGTAATGAAACAACGCAAGAAGGTGTTAATCGCGCAAAGGTCTCTGCGCTGTTCAAGTAATAGCTTTTCCAAGAAATTTCTTTATAGCTGTACAAAGCAAAAAGAATGTGAAGTAAATGTCAGACATCACATTAAATTGTAACTGCGTATTTCTTGAAATTTGTCGAGGAATTTAGCGCGACCTGTGGTCATAGTATGGCCGTAGGTATTCATTATAGTCAGTCAGCGTAGTTGACTTTTTTCTAAGCAAAAGAAAATTATTTAAGGAAAGCTGAGGTAAGTCGTGGTGTCAGTTTTTCGCAGCATTTTGTTAAATGGTTATCAGTTTGCATTTGAAATCGTATTAGATAAGTCATGTAAGCGAATTTAAAAATTGTTTCATTGAATTTCCCAGATATCGCAATTCGGCCGTGGCCGCCGTCAGTTGATAATTACCTGTGATCATGGGAAACGATCTTAGTAACATAAATAATGTGTATCTCTATTAGCTTCCATCTTCTCATCCATTGTGTTGTCATAGTGAGCGTCAATAGAATGCCGTTTGTCAGTGAAATTGATTTCAAGAGTTTGCTCGAGGGAAATTGAAAGCACTTTACTTTGATTTGTTGCTTTTTTACATCTTTTGATGGGAATGCAATCATAGATAGTAGTTCACCACATTCAACCGTAGTGTTGGTCTATTCTTCCCAGTCCTTCCAAATGTCATCATCGAGCTTTCCAACTGCGATAGTCCCCATGGGCGATAAATCTCCCTCTGCATCGTAATTTGGTATCTAAATTACGCATCTAGTCGTGAAGATGATAGATTATAGGAGAAACACAATGTATAGGAATTTGTCTTAGACATAAGTGCTGTTTGTTTGTGTGGAAGTTTCTTTCAAATGTTCCTTTTCTCCTTTCGCTGTTATTGAAGTAAATACGCGAGGTTTTTGCTGAAACCTAACAGGTGGGTGTCCATTCTAATCTGACTTCTGTTTCCAAGATTTTTGCTCGTACGATTTAAAGTTAACATTAGTGTCTGCTGACTCGAAAAGTTTCCTGTTCGACGCTCAGAGATGACTTTGCCGAAGTCTTGTGAGGTTGTTATCACTAGCAGCCGTTGTAATCTCTCTTTTCGATTTGGATCACCCTGCCAAGTGGGCAGATGGTGGTCATCGTAATATAACCCATTTGAGGCAGTTCTCCTAACGTCCAATGGGAGTGCGAATGCATCTTGCGAGAAAAAAAACTATCAACATGCGATGAAGTTGTTCCTTTTTTTGAGTGAGCAAAATTATTCACTTTCCAGTTGTCAACAATACCTAAAAGTAGCATATTGAGTAAAAATCAGAGTCCAATGGACTGTTTCTTGAAAATGATGCCTGCGATGCCAGGTCGTTGGTTGTTCGGTTTGTAAACTCCTCAGGCCGTACAGTCCAAAAGCAGTGGCTATTCCGCCACGTAGTTAGTTACCTTCGGTGGTATGGCACACTGAGGCTTTCTAGAGGCAAGCTCCAGTATAAAAACTATGTTCTGTTAGCTATCAAATGGCTGCGAAAAATCTAGTAAACGTTTAATTCTGCAGAGTAGGCCAGTGATTAATAGCGTGTCCATCAAAAATCATGCACTCTCAAAAACAAATAGGCACACCTATACCCACAACGACACACGTCCTAGAGAAGAAGAAAGTGTTTTAGCGAGCGATAAACTTTTAGAGTGATCTTATGAAGCTTGTATGAAATTAATGGACCATTTATTAGCACATTTGTCTTCTCGAGTCTGTAGAAGCCGTGTATTACTGACCAAACATCATACCAACAGTACGAAGTGAAGAAGCTGCCTTTGATTGTAAGACGACTCTGAACGAGAATCATTTGAAGATAGACGAGAAATGGGGAAAATGAGAGCACCTGGTTTTCGGGGAGTAGTAGCATGTCCTCATGCATCATAGGCAGAGGCGGTAACTTTTGTAATCTTTACTGGTTTTCTCTGTCGAACGATTCGGGACGGATAAGTTAAATTTTCTCGCATATTTTGTTCATTCACTGAACGTACTTTGCTGATTTGTCTTTGCGACCTAATTAAGCCTCTTATCCTCACGAAGTTGTAAAATTGGTAATAGCCTAATGTGGGACAAGCCGACTTCCATAATCCACGTGGGAACGCTTCAGCGTGGCTATCTCACCATTCCGGAAGGCATTGATTCAACCAACATTTAATGACATTCCTAACGAAAATGAAAAGATCATGCAACAGCTGAATTACAGTGTTTATTTATCCGTAATCTACTAAAGTATTATGCCTTCATGGATCATGAATGCAAGAAAGAATCGATTTTGAGAACTACAGCAATCTGTACAATGTGAACTATGTGATGTCAAGTTATATAATAAATATCAATACGTAGCAATCTTTTTCTTTACTTGTCTCTTTAGCTGAAAAAGTCTCATTTCATGCGTAGTTTTTGTACTGGATCGATAGCTTTGCGGCTACCGATTAGTTATGCTACTTTGTACTAAGGAAAGTATATAATACTAAGAATTCTCGGCTTTATGACTTATGACTCACAGCGTAAGCTAGAAAGTTGCGCGTCCTCTGGGATTGGACGCCCGCCGAAATTTTTTGAATTACAACGAGTTTTTTCAACGGCTTCTTGTGGTTTTATGCTATATCTGCAGCATTTCGAGATAACAGTAAGTCGTCTTGTTTCTGCTGTTGTCTGAGGAGATTTTTCTTATACAATATGCAGAAGTATTTTCGCAGTTCTTCGTATTATCTTATTTTAGAGAGAAACTTGGTTTTTTTCTAATCAAGTAAAACAAAGGTGGATTTTAAGGTGGAAAGTGGTTTGGTTAATTCCAAGCTTATCTCTATGTTCGACTTCGTTCGATTGGTAATACCATTTTCATTCGATTTTTGAACATTTCTAGTTATATACCCACTGATGTAGAGCGATGTGCAAGACTTTCGTACGTCACTAGTGCAACGTATAGAGCACGCATTCCCGGAAAGAGTGAGGTGCCGGTTCCAGTCCTGTCTGACGCGAAAGTTTTGCACATTGCTCTACATCAGTGCGTATATATTCATACCATCATACCATCGCTGTAGGCGTTTAAATAAAAAAAAGAATATCATTTCTAGTTAGTTGGACGGTTCATTGGGTTTTTCCATCACAAAATTAACGTTGTATTCTCCCTTAACTCTCTCAATTACCATTTTCTTGAAAGAGAAACCCTTCTATTCAACTCACTGAAATTATAGTATACTCAATACTTGAGGCTTTTTTCTAATTTCCTCCATATCTTCGGATTCATGTTTTTTATATATAGTCCGTGTTTTCTAAATGGCTCATCTTGATAGTGACTCAAGAGGTTACGCATGAGAAGAATCGTATACGGATATGAGCGCAATATTTTTCAAATTTCCTGAGGGACGTGGAGATAAATGTCCTTTCCAGACATATTGGCTGCACGCAGGGTTGGTTGTCAGACAATCGCTCATGTTCAGCAACCTAGTACTGATGATATCTGAAAGTCGACAAATGTGTTATTTTAGGCTTTCCATGTTTTTAAAATTATAATCTTAGGCTTTCGTCATATTGTACATATCTACGTCTAGCATTTTCATACTGCACAATCCTTTATCAACTTGAACGTTATGTTTTCAACTTTCACATTCACTAAAGTAGCTTCTAATTAAGGGTTTCCCCTCCACTACATTTTTGGCTTTGTTTATCCGTCTCTTAGCAGGAGGGCGGTAATCGAGTGGTTCAGTGTTGCATGCTATTAGGAGGCAAGGTTTTGGTTCATTTAATCTGGATTCACTCAAAATTTCAACGGTTTGATTTGATCAGTACTCGACGACATTAATGAAGGTACGAAATTATCAAACAGCAATCGGAACAATTTGTGTAATGTTCGAAGACCAAAGGACCATGAATGCAAGGAAAGAAATCGGATGCTGAAAGAATGAGATTCGCATGGTAAAAGTGATAATAGCTGTTTTGAATAAAATAACTAAATACAAATGCAGCGAAATTTTGTAATCTTTTCTGTGGAAATCTTGTGGTATTGGAAAAACCATCTGCTGAACTTGTGTCCAAATCGTGCACCATAGGAAAGTGATTGCTTTTCTGCCCAGATCGTCAGTATTTAGTTTAGTGTAATGTATAATTCAATTTATGACGGGTTTAATGCCAAGAGGCTAGGTGCACTACGCCAGGGGTAATCACGAGGGTTTGGTGCGACTTCGGACCAGTCCAACCATGTCATCCCTTCAGATTCGATGATTCAGTAGCAGTATCTTCTCTCGAGAGCCTGCTGTTATCCCAAAATTTGAAGGCTGCATGTGATAAAGGCCTAGGGGCTCTTTTGTACAAGTATCCTTGAATAATAGAGCGGATCGACTCTGACCAGTATACAACTGCATCCATTCCAATAGTTGTAAACCGAACCAGTGTGGAAATTTGAAAGTCATCGTGAGCATGATAACAAGGAAACCGTCGGATGAAAGAAGCAGCGAAATGCGGACAGCATGTAATTGGGGATC